TGCCCAGTGGATGGTGACTCCTGAAATGACAACACTGTAACAGCACCGGTGTCCCTATGGGACCCTACCACAAGGGGAAGCCTGCAGAGCGGGGCTTAGCTGGGAAAACTGAAAGGCTTACCCATCTGTCCTTGATCATCCGTTCACAACAGACATTTACTGACTCTCTGTTCCGGGATGTGCACAGAGAACAGAGAATATGATACGGTCTCCAGCAAGATCGCGCACAAGTGGGCTATTTCTGAAGTTGTGCCACCGCGACAACTGTTTCTCATCCCAGGCAATCAAACGGTGCTTAATATGCACCAGACGTTGAGATTACACGGAAGCGTGTTTAATCTCGACAAGGACAGGTGTGTTTTTTTGCATCTTACAGATGAAGAAACTGAGGACAGGTATGTAACTGGCCCAAGGTGACATGGCTGGAAGATGACAGGTGGCCCCAGAGTCTGCATCCTTCACACACTGTGTCATCTGAGTCAGCTGTGGCCATTACATTGCTGGGATTTATGCCATTTTTTAAATATATCATGGCCCAGAGACAGTGGACTTCCGGTTGCAGTGTTGACCACGTCCTCAACTGGGTCTCCATTATGCCAAGGAATCAAGTAAATTCAATTAAAAAGCATGCAATTTAATAAAATAAGTAAATCCCCTGGTAAAACCGTGTGTTCATCTGATCAAAGTTCCAAGTTTCTAACTGTCCTTCAGCTCTGTGTATGTACAGGGCAGGGCTGGGGGCTGACGGCTCTCCAGACCGGTGATGTTGGGTGAGTCCTCTGATGCCTCTGGGCTTCACTTTCCTCATCTGACTAACGATTCCCAGCACCCGTCCAGCTCTGGTCTCCCGTGTCTCACTCGGGTACAGAGGCTCCCATCCTGCTCTCCAGGTAGACACGTGCCAGGCATGGCTTTGCTTCCCTGTCCACACGTTCCTTCTCCACCTGGCCCCCACTCAGACAATACTGGAAAACAGTACACGGCCATTGTCTCACTGACCTAGGAAGCTGTCCCTTCCTCAATCATGTCTGTGGGGTCTCTCCCGGGGGTTGGAATTATCTAAAGAGTTCACTGCTCTTCAAGAATTCTTCCTGCACGCCCTAAGTTTCTGTGATTTGATTTATTAAGAGCAGCATAAAAGCCTGACACACACCTTCACCCTCTGATCACACACAGTTTGTCTGTTGAACCTTCTGACCCAAGACTGGCCAGTTGGATGGAGCCATTGACTTCATTAAAGACGTTTCTCTGACGGGTGGGGTAGGGGTCATTCCACACTTGGCAGGCAGTTAACTAGTAGGTAACAAACACTTTCAAAGCATTTATAGCCAACACATGGATGCTGCTTCCAGAAGCCCGTCCAAGATAGATCCTCAGAGCACAAATATTCGTGTACGAAGCTCTCCTGTCCCAGTGTTATTCACACCCTGTCTCTGTGAAGGCAGATGATGTGTCCCTTAAAAATCACTCAGGAAGTCTCATGATGCATGCTCGAATAAAAAAATCAGGTGATCAAGTTGTACACATTTGCACAGTGTGACCCTGAATTTTGTTAATCATACACGCACGACAAAAAGCCTGGAAGGACACTGGGCAATGATGATTATCTCTCAACAGCAGTAGCAGAAATACACAGCTACTTTATATGATTTTCTGCATTTTCTGAATTTTCTCTAATAATCATATGTTCTATGTTAATAAATACACTCAACATGGCTTCACATTTTTTTACAACTCATGGCGTCAGTAACCGGGTGTGGAGCAGTCCTCTCTCGGGGAAGGGCTCCGTCAGGGGACTGCAGCTGGCGTGGAGGGGCCATGCCACTGCCACTGACCACAGATCCACAGGAGACACCTCAGGGTGCTTATGAGTACCAGCAGGACTGTAGGCAGCACTTCATGTGGGGTAAGTCTTAAAATCCCCAGCCTCTCTTGCCGGCACCCAAAGAAAGCCCTAATAACCACGTCCTAAGTGACATTTTGCGACGCTGGTCCAGCAGCACACCCTCCTGGCTCAGGGTGCCTGACAGATGGAAATGCACTCCCCTCAGACAGCAGCATGTGGCATGTTCCAAACAACGTGGGCTTCCCAGCAAGCAGGCTATCGCAGGCTACTAGCTGTAAGGAATACACACTGAAACCCCAACATTTGTTTAGTGAGACTAACAGGGCAAAGGGAGTTTAATGTGCATAATCACTTGTGACCATAAATGAGCTGGAGGCTAGTTCTGGACGGAAAAGGTAAAAGTCACAGATTTCGGTCCTGAAGAGCTGTGCCCTCTGGCCGCTCTGCACCTTTGGTCCAGCACAGCTGTGACGTCCCTTCACTTACTTACAGCCGTGGATCACTTTCGTCCGGGGCCTGCTAACTTGGTACGGGCTTAAATTTGAGCAAGTCATGATGTTTCGTCAGAGGGTTTTGCTGGATCAAACCATAAATTCAAACCACCAGTTAACAGGCTCCAGTTTCCCAAACACCTGTTATTTCACTTAATTCTGGCCCAGGCTGGGGCGCTGGGAGTCGCTGGGGCAAAGGCTGCTCTTAACCACAGCTCTTCCGCGCCTCCATCCTCTCTTCCCACCACCTCTCTCTTCATCGTGAGAAGAAAGGCTTCTGTCTCCCACACCCAGAAAGCAGCAGGAGCCGTTGGGAAGGAAGGACCTCGGCGCCGATGCACCGAGTCAGCCCGCACGTGGCGCCTGCCCTGCCTCCCTCCCTCGACCTGGGGGCGGGGGTGGGGGGAGCCTGTCTGTCCGCGCGCCCAGGAACACCCTTCCCCCGCCGCGCCCCGGTCTCCCTCCCCTCCAGGAAGTGTCTCGTCCTCAGGTGCCCCTTCTCTCCCCCGATGCTGACTCTTCACTCTCAACACAGAAACGTGCCGGGGGCTCTTGTCCATCGAGTCACTGATCTGAGCAAATGCCTAGGGTCCCTGGCGCCAGGACTGTGCCAGGCACAGGGGAACAGCCGTCGATAAGACCCTCAGGCCGAGAGGCTGCAGGAGACACGCACACGGATGGTCGCAGCAGTCCTGACTCACTCCTGACCTCCACCTTCTTGGAAAAGTCCTCTGTACTGAGTCCCCACGGCCCCACCTCCCTCCCTCCCGGCTCACCACACCCTGGCCTGTGCCTGCACCACGCCCTGAGACCACCCGGCCAAACTCACGGCGCCTGAGGGCCGAGTCTAATGCTGCTTCGAAGCCTTCATCCCCCCTGGCCTCCAGGGAGCAAAGGACTCTGCCTTGGTCCCCTGCCTGCCGCTCTTTCTAGAGCTCCCTCCCCACCCCCCAGGGCCGCCTCCCCTGGGAGACCAGGGTCAACAGCAGAAACCCCGATGCCCCTGAGGGCAGCAGCACCACAGGGACTTCCCCGCAGAGGGACTTCGGACGGAGCCCGCGCCCAAGCCTCAGTCTCACCCGACTCGGATCCCACGTGCAGGGTCTCTCAGCCGCGTCCCTCCCTCCGACCAGAGTCCGTGGAAACCTTGGCAGAAGCTGTGCGTTGACCTCTGAAAGTCTTCGAGCAGAGCCGGGGCCAGGAGTCTGAAGGATTATGTAACAGCTAGAAGGTGTCGGTTCTATAATGACAAGATAAATGGTAGAATCTAATGTAATTTTTAGTGTGATGGAGCCAATATTTTTATTTAGAGGGAAATCAGTTCTTGAATTTACCATTAACATCCAACAGGAAAGTAAGACTTTAGGTACAAAAATGCATTCACCTACAACTTTCTAGTTATACTTTTGGTATAAAATATGAGGGTCCTAATTTTTAAGCTGATAACTTCCTGGGTGACGTTATTGCAATTTAGTTATGTAAACTTTTGTCTTTATCAAGAAATAGCAAGGAGACTTCAGAAAAGGCAATATAGAATTTATATCTCACAGACACAGAAAACGAACTATGGTGACCAAAGGGGAAAGGGCGGGGAGGGGTAAATTAGGGCTTGGGCATGAACAGACACACACTGCTGTATATAAAATAGACAAACAAGGACCTACTGCAGAGCACGGGGAACTGTATTCAATGTCTTGTAATAACATATCATGGAAAATAATTTGAAAAGAAAATAACTATGTATGTATATGTGTAACTGGATCACTTTGCTGTAATAAAACTTTTTCTGAAAGAAACAAGAGGCAGTATCAGTCGATACACTGAAATGAATCCCCGTGGCCTGGACCCCATTGCACGGCAGCTGAGCGGGGCCTGGGGTTATCATGACTGACGCGAGGGCTGGGCTTCAGCAGGGGCGACGGTGCCCCGGTGAACCGCACAAGCCGCGATGCCTCACCTGGAAGTTAGGCTGCCAGCTTCCCATCTCCTCTGGGGCGACGTCGGCTGCCTCCTGACTCGCAGGGTGAGCCCGGGGCAGGGAGAGCTGCTCGGACAGAGTCCTTAGCCCTGCCGCACGCGCTCCCTACAAATCAAGCCACAACCAGCACGTGCAGCTGGTGTCCCTGTCGCAGGGCTGCCAGGCAAATGACCGAAAATGTGGCTGAAAACAACAGAAATGTATTTTCTCTCAGCCCTGGAAGCTGGAAGCCCCAAATCCAGGTGTCAGTGGGCCCACACTCCATCCAGAGGCTCTAGGAGAGAACCTTCTGCACCTCTTCTGGCTTCTGCTGGCTCCTCGCCGTCCTCAACGCTGCTAGACTTGGAGACACATCACTCCAACCTCTGTCTCCGTGGTCACGTGGCTTCTCCTGGGCGTCCGTGTCCAGACTTCTCTCTTCTTCTAAGATGCCAGCCACTGGATTAGCCCCTCCCCACTCTACTATGATCTCATGTTAACTTGATTAAAATCAGTCAAGACCTTATAAGGTCGCATTCACAGGCACCAGGGTAAGGAGGCTGACACAGCTTTTGGTGAGACACAAGCAGCCCACCACTGAGTATGTCTTATTCGCCAGACACTTTGCGATGGTTTCTCCTCGAATTGTTTCACTTTATCCCTGTAACAGTGCCGTTTGCAGCAACATGATGGGCCTGGAGATCGTCATTCTAAGTGAAGTCAGCCAGAAAGAGAAAGAAAAATACCATATGATGTCACTTGTATGTGGAATCTTTAAAAAAGGACATAAATGATCTTATTTACAAGACAGAAATGGATTCACAGACATGCAAAACAACTTTATGATGGGAGGGATAAATTGGGAGTTTGAGATTTGCAGAGATTAACTGCTATACATAAAATAGATAAACAACAAATTTCTTCCATATAGCACTTCCATACTATGAGATATTCAATATCTCATAGTAACCTATAATGAAAAAGAATATGAAAAGGAATATATGTATGTATATGTGTGACTGAAACATGATGAAACCATACATTGACACAACATTGTAAACTGACTAGATTTATTAAATTAAAAAAATTTTAAATCCCATAAGGTGGGAACCCCATTCTCCAGATGAGAAAACTGAGACTTAGAAGGTCAGAGACAACTGCCCGGGATCACACGGCTCATGTGTGCAGAAGTCGCTCTCACATTCAGGGCTCGCCCTCCAACCCAGCACCTAGCTGTGGGGCCAGCTGCTAAAGGCAAAACCTGCACATTGTCCCAGCCCAGCGAGAGTCCAGGCTCTGTGTCAAACGGTCAGTCACAGCTGGGATTAGGACCTTGGGAGGTCAGCAAAGCCTCACGGTGAGCGAGGGAGGATTTTAGTCTGAGAAAGTCAAGTGTTTTCAGCACAAAAAACCCACACACGAAGAGCCTTTGCAAAAGCAGTCGAAGATTCCAGCTGCACCCAGGCCCCTGACCCGTAAACTGTGTCTAAAGCGGGCCTCACACACCACCCGAGTTCCGGACCGCGGCGGGTCACACACTGCCCCTGGACGCCAGCCCCTCCACACCCCTTTGGTGCTCCCAGCAGAGGCCCAGAGGGACAGACACCGCCCAGCCGGGACTTGGCTGGCCTGATTAGAAAGCTAACTAACCTAATTAATCACAACAGATTAATAAGAGTGACAAGGTGAGAGAGGTGACATTCTCCAAAATCTCCAATTTGGTAGGAGGGCGCTGATTTTTTTTTCAGTCCTCGCAGCAATTTATTTCCTGTAAAGCAAAGTTTCTCCCAGAATGTCCCAAAAGGTAGTCAAGGTTAACTGTACCGTGAGCTTATTCAATATGTATGATTCCTTTTATTTGTATTACTAGGACTTTTTGGGGACTCCAAAAGGTCCATTAATCAAACCAAACAGAGTGACAAAATGAACCATCTGACAATTGGAACAAGGGCTGAATATGATTAGGGTTGTATATGTATACATACATGTACTTAGTCCAGGAATAAAAGAGCCAACTTAACTTCATCAACAGTTCCTGATTAATTGTCACAAAGTGTCATCCATAAATTCCCCTTCGATCTAATCATTCCTTCGGACGATTTAACAGTACCCCCAGCGAGCTGGCTTTATGGAGGGCTGGGTTCCCGGGAAGGGGAGGGGGTGGCAGGCAGTGGACAACGTTCAGGGAGCTGACAGTTCTGAAATACAATTATCAGTGTGATCTGCTTACGAATTCACCATCAGCTCCTGCCTTCTGAAGACTTAAAAAAATCCTGAGACATACAAAGAGAAAGAGGTGATAAGAAAGCGTCATTTTCCTCCAGTCTCATAACTGTAAATTGAAGAAAATTATTTTCTTTGCCTCCAGCTCATTGGCATATAGGCAGCGTTATATTATAATTTCATAAGCATAAATCCTTTGAATAAATTTCCAAAGAATAACCAAATTAGAAATGCAAGTAAAGTACCTAAAAAACTTAACTCTACTAGGCAGGGGAGGAAGATGCGAGTGGCACAGGGAAGAGAAAACCCCTTTCTGGGGCCTTTCCTTGGGTTCCCAAAGCTCTGTTTTCTCGGAAAGGCAGTTTTTTTAACCCCATTCTGGGCCTGATGGAGAATAAATATCGCCATCTCTCCCCTCCCCACCCTCCTGTTCCAAGGAATCGGAGTCATAATTTATCATAAATTAATTTTGGAGAAACAACAGGCTTGGGGCATGTTATAATTATTGTTATTTGTTTATTTATTATCATGTTAACCATTATTTATTATTATGTTAAGCATATGTGAGATCACAAAGGTTGCTCCCTGTGGTTTCCTAGCAACAAGCCACTGGGTTCTTCGCACACAAGTTTCCAAACATCCTGCTCCATTGCTGTGGGTGGCGGCGGGGAGGACGGATGCTGGCCAGGCTGGGGACCCGGTATGTCCTGTCCTGAGGGGTCCGGTGGGATGGACCGTGGAAACGAAGGGTCTCCCTCACCTAGGGAGGTGGTTCATTAGCCGCAGAGCAGATCATTTCAAACAAAGACCGTTTACAGGCAAAACCCTGGCCCCAAAGAAAGATGCCAGCATCTGGATCCAACTGGACCAAGCATCTTTTCCAAAGCCTGTCTTGGGGGGCCACCCACTGGGCACCCTCCATGGCCAAGGAACGTCTGGGAGGAGGAGGCGCTGGGTGGGGAGGTGTGGGGGAGACGCCCTGAGGGCCTCAGCACTCCTGCCCGAGCGTTCGGCCGTGTGACCATTCTCACCTGCCCGCGGAGGCCCCCACTGGCTTCCTGAGCCCGGCTGGTGTGATGGGAGCAAAAGGATGGAGCCCCTGAGTTTCAGCTGTTTCAACAGCATCTCAGGAGGATGAGCACCTATCTGCAGTCTCCTGTGTCAGGGCAGCGACGCATACGGGGAACGGGCATGTGCTCTTTCCCGCACGGGACTCCTTACGTGGGCCCACAGGGGAGCTGCTGGACCAGCGTGTCTGGGCTGGTGTCCCTTTCCTGGCATCTCAGAAGGCCCTCCGTGCCTCCCATGGGATTACTTTCAATTCTGGCTGAGAAACTTCCGGCGAAGCGGCTTGCTGATGCAGTGCGTTCTCGTGACGGTGGGACCACTCCACACACAGTCTTGGGTGCAGTGTTGGCCCCTGAACAGCACAGCGGAATCCCCCAGGAGTGACATTTGTCCTAATAAACTTTTAATTTTAAAACAATTAAATTTAGAGAAAAAGTGCAAAGACAGTACAGAGCGTTCCCACGCACGCCACACGCTGTTTGCGCTGTTACAGCATCTGAGACTGCAGGACGTTTGTCACAGCAGATGAACCAGCACGGACGCACTACTGTTAACTGAAGTCTACAAACTGCTTAGATTTTTAGCTTTTCCCCAAAGTCCACTTTCTGCTCCAGGACGCTGTCCAGGACGCCGTGTCGTACTTTGCGTCGCACCTCCTCAGGCTCCTCCTGGCTGGGACGACTCCTCAGGCTTCCCTGAGGCTGGCGGCCTTGGCAGTTTGGAGGAGAGTTGCTCGGGTATTTTTTAGAACTTCCCTCAATTTGACTTCATCTGACGTTTTTCTTATGAGTAGTATATGGACAGCACGTGTGCACCCCCTAAAATCCACCTGTTGAAATCTAATCCCCATGTGATCTTACTGGGAGGGGGGCCTTCAGGAGGTGACGAGGCCATGAGGGTGGGGCCCTCTCGAATGGGACTCGTGCCCTTATAAGAAAAGGCCAGAGAGCAAGGGAGCGCGTTTCCTGCCACTTGAGGCCACAGCAGAAAGTCTGCCACCTGTAACCCACAAGAGAGCCCTTCCGGGACCCGGGTGGCACCCTGATCTCAGACGTCCAGCCTCCAGAGCAGTGAGCACCGTGAGTCACCCTGCCTGCAGCACGCTGTAGGAACAGCCCGGAGGGACTTAGACAGACTGCACGTGCGGGTCCGGGGGAGGAGGCGCGTCAAGCTCCGTTTCCCACTCGGCACATCCAGGCTGCTCGCCGTCAGCAGGACTCACCGTGCTTGATGCTGACCTTGGCCACCTGGGCGGTGCCTGACTGTCAGGTCCTCCCCTGCCAGGCTGGCCTCCCCACCCCGTTCTTACGGAGCCCCCGGGGGCAGCCCATGCTCGAGTGAGGGCTGTGCTCTTCCTCCTCAGGGACCTCAGGGACAGAGTGTCCACGTAAGTCACCTGGAATTCTACAGGAGCGGTCATTCTCTTCTCCATGCATTTGTTCAATCATCTCTCTACGTCAGGATGGACTTCTTTTATACGTAGAGTTACGTTCCAGAGCTGCTTTTATTTATGCTCTTGCTCGAAAGTGTCAAGCTGGGCTCTCTTTCCATTGGTCCCCATCCCTTTGACACACCCCCAGTTATGGTGGCCTTGCGGGTTTGTTTAGTTTGGTTTTCTCAGCACTTCCTTACTTTCCAGCACTGCCAGGAGCTCCAGGCTCCCCTTGTCTATTCCCAGGGTTAGACCCAACCATTTCGCCATGGCCCCGGCTGGAGAAGGGTGTTAGCAAACAAGACCGGGGCAGTGGGTGTGCTCAGTGCTGCGGGGGCTGGGAAACTTTAGAAAATTAGCCGATTTAGGTTGCAGCCAAGACCAATGGCCTGAGACAGAACCCAGAGATCGGTATTTTCAAAGCTTCGTCTGTCTGTCAGGACCTTCCTCCTAGAAGGCTGGAAGGGCAGAGGGATAGGACCCACAAGACCAAGGCTTCCAGGTAAATCATGGCAGCTGAGCAGGCCCCAGTCTGCCCTTAAAGAGAGCTAGTAATAAAATTCTACTAGCAACAACAGCTTCTCACTGAGCAAGTCTCACCTGCTAGGTACTTGAGACATCATCTCCTTTAACCCAACAAACACCCATGTGGAGGAGGCATCTTTAAACCCACCCACAAGAAAACAGGTGGGAGAGGCTGAGCTGAT